CACCGGACAAAGTAGCAATACAACCGTAACAAAAACACAAACCGTACAACAATCAGCATCCGGTGGTAAAACAGCAGATACAGGCAAGAGCACGGGACAAAGTAGCAATACAACCGTAACAAAAACAGCAACAGCACAACAATCAGCATCCGGTGGTAAAACACTAGATACAGGCAAGAGCACCGGACAAAGTAGCAATACAACCGTAACAAAAACACAAACCGTACAACAATCAGCATCCGGTGGTAAAACAGCAGATACAGGCAAGAGCACGGGACAAAGTAGCAATACAACCGTAACAAAAACACAAACAATACAACAATCAGCATCAGGTAAATAATTTAAATATTTAAATATGATTACTTCCGTGTAAAATAGTTAAAATGTCACACAATTATCTGTTAGCGTAAATGNTTCCAGGTAACATTAACATTCCGCTACCATCAGCAGCATCTAAGGGCGCAACTAAGGTCGTTAATGATACAAAATCAGCTTCCACAACGAAAGTCACCAGTAGTGCAACTAATAAGACAAGCAATGTTGACAAAACCTCACAAGGTGGTGGTAATACAACCGTAACAAAAACACAAACAATACAACAATCAGCATCAGGTAAATAATTTAAATATTTAAATATGATTACTTCCGTGTAAAATAGTTAAAATGTCACACAATTATCTGTTAGCGTAAATGAATTTATACCATATTTATATATTCCAGGTAACATTAACATTCCGCTACCATCAGCAGCATCTAAGGGCGCAACTAAGGTCGTTAATGATACAAAATCAGCTTCCACAACGAAAGTCACCAGTAGTGCAACTAATAAGACAAGCAATGTTGACAAAACCTCACAAGGTGGTGGTAATACAACCGTAACAAAAACACAAACAATACAACAATCAGCATCAGGTAAATAATTTAAATATTTAAATATGATTTCTTTCGTGTAAAATAGTTAAAATGTCGCATAATTATCTGTTAGCGTAAATGAATTTATACCATATTTATATATTCTAGGTAACATTAACATTCCGCTACCATCAGCAGCAAAACCTTCTGCTACGACAGCGAAGAATGTACAACCCAGCAAACAACCCGTTACAACCGGTCCAAAACAATCAGCAACCACCAAAAAACCTTCTGCTACGACAGGGAAGAATGTACAACCCAGCAAACAACCCGTTACAACCGGTCCAAAACAATCAGCAACCACCAAAAAACCTTCTGCTACGACAGCGAAGAATGTACAACCCAGCAAACAACCCGTTACAACCGGTCCAAAACAATCAGCAACCAGCAAAAAACCTTCTGCTACGACAGCGAAGAATGTACAACCCAACAAACTACCTGTTACAGCCGGTCCAAAACAATCAGCAACCAGCAAAAAACCTTCTGCTACGACAGCGAAGAATGTACAACCCAACAAACTACCCGTTACAACCGGTCCGAAAAAATCAGCAACAGCAGCTACCAAATCGAAACTGCCACTACAAAAATCGAAAAGTAAAGTAGCCGCGTAGAACGATAGTGTACCAGTTGTCTTTTATGTTAGAGCAGAGGTCACATACGGGATCTTCACGTCTTCAGAATAAACTGTGAATCGTGCCTGCCTATGCAGATGCAAAAAGTCGTTCGAGGAGTGCGGCAGATACTCGGAAAATGGCACTTCGGATCCTCGATATAAGCTTTCGTGGGGTATCGAATTCGAGCCCTCGGATTTCAGATAGGTAGCGAGCCCTCGAGAAAAATTTCGAGCCGTCGAATAGAGATGTTCAGGACTTCCAAGCCCTCGCTCTCTCGTGGGTGCGACGAGGGCTCGGACATACCCCTCGAAAGCTTATATCGAGGGTCCGAAGTGCCATTTTCCGAGGGATCGAGCCCTCGGCGAAGACCCATCGAAAGCATATTTCCGAGCACTCAAAGTACCCCTCGAACAACTGGTTGGGTGTGTATGGTTTCTTCAGCTTTTCGCAGCTAAACAGTAATATCTTTCTTTTTTTGCGGTAGCTCCTTCAAAATCGACGGCAAGTCAAACACCAGTAAAAGGAGCAGCCAAACCTACCAAATCTAGTCAAATAACTCCGAAACTTGTGACAAAACTTCATAAAGGTAAACCAATCGTCTTTGATAAATCACCAACAAGAATTATTAGTTATCAATCCCCTATTAATTCAATTCGTGAACAAAACCAATTAAGAGATATAACATTGACAACATTATATGAAAATGATGACCTTGAACAGGTCAATGGTCTTCTATATTTTCTACGTAAACTGGGTCAAGGTAAAAGGCGTTCTGATAACAAGGAAGGCACAAAACAAGTCTTTAATAAAAAATGTGAAACCACGAAAGATGTCTATGTTAATTATGTCTACGAGTATGATATACAGAATCAGGTAATGAATTCTTCACTTAGAGATCCAAATAGTGAAACAATAAAACGAATAAACACATTTTTCGCTGATGCGTTTGCTGAAGAATGTTATAAACGAAATCTAGTTCAATATGTCATCGATGATGCCCGTTTGGTTCGTATTTTGGATGTGTCAAAATTATATAAGAATGAACCCACATTAAGATTTTATGCATCAATCAATTGTAGTAAAAACTTGATACCATTAATATCAAGAATATTCGAAGTAGTATTTGAAAAATTACAGAATGATCTATTATCAAAATCAAATAAAAAAATGAGTTGGGGTGATCTGGATCTTATACCAATAAAGAAGTAAAGACGAGAAACTCTGAACAAAAATAATAAATATTAGTGTTGAATTATAATGCTGTTTGATTAAGGACTTTATTTTCTATGTTTTGGGTTATTTTCACTAGTGTTCGAAGAAAAAAAACTAAATTGTTAATAAAAATATTTATGTTTATTTAATTAAGTGTGGTGTTTATGAAACCTAACACAAATGGATTTTAGTTTTGTAAACAGCAGCAGGTCTAAAGACAAATTGTGCTGTGTAAAGACTGAAAAGTCGGCTGAGCGAAACTGTGAGTAGTTCACTTTCAATCTAAACTTCAAAAAGTTCTTGTTAGATCATTTTTTTTTTGCGAATCGGTAGTGGTATTAACCGTAATTCTAATAAAACGCTTGGATTATTTCGAAAAACAGTGATTCAGTGATGTAGAACATCTCTTATTGTAAAGAAGAATGTGTTCTTCAGTACGCAGTGAGTATTCAAACTTCTAATTAATTGAAAGTATTCAAACTCCCAATCAATTGATTAGGCGAAAAGTTTAAATGCTATTTCAAGAGAAGCATTTTGGGAAAAACATTCAGAAAAGCGATGAAAAATCAGAGGGATGACAAGGAGAGATGATGAAACTTTCTGTACCATTTGTAGTGCTACGATAAATTTGCTTTATACTCGGTCAAATTAAATGCATTTCAAAATTTCAGATTGAAATTTTCAAAAACTTGTAGATCGTCTATGATAATTTTTTCACTCTCCTTTTTGTTTGAATTAGGCATGCAACGGTATTTACCCGTATATTTTTCTCTTTTTTTTCAACCAGATTGACTGAAAATTACAAGCTATCAAAGTTTTTGGACGACTCATGTTTGTAGAGCAAACATTTTTCTACAAAATGGGATATGATACAACTCTTCATCTTTTTTTCTGTCTGTTATAATCGTTTCTCGACGAAAGGTCCTAAACCAGTATCGGTATCAGTACCGACCGTGGGACGTTTAGCAAACATTTTTTATCTGAGTACTAATTCAAGATGGACGGTGCTGTTATACTTCATTTTTTAGGGAAATGTTTGCTCTACAACACTTAGTCATAAAAAAAAATTGAACAGATCGTTTTGCGATACTAAAAATTTTATATGAAAAAAACGAGGAATTGTGACCGGTAAATATCAGTGCATGTCTAGTTTAGATGAATAGCGAAGCGTTTCTTCTTTCGATTTACGAGCACTGATACATACTAATAACGTCAGACTAGCAAGAACTAAAAAGAAGTAGGCAAAATGTTGTCTAATTTTTGTTTTCACAGAAAATGTTTACTATTGATATGAAATAAAAGAAGAGCTTTAATTTGGGCATAAGACTTCGTGTCATGGGCCCTGGTGTACATACTATTATTCAGGCTGTTCTTTATGAATAAAGCCCTTGCCACCTCAAGAGCTTTAATTGATTTCAAGGTGAACTGAATCCATTCGCGCGAATTATGTCAACTGTTGAAACCTTTTGATCGAATCGCTATAGAGAATAACAAATAAAGAAAACTTATTGTTTTTTGCCAAATCTGAAAGGAGCGTTTCTATATAACTTTGACAACGTGGGAGAAGTTTTATGGAGCAAGTCTAAAAATTTAGCTGATAACTAAAAAAAAGAAGAAAAAAAAAGAACTTTTTTAACTTTTCGGAGTAATTTTTTGTTTAGCAGGAGTAAATTATTTTAATTAATTAATTTATTTTAAAATGAACGGAATATTATTTCAAACAAGGTGGGGAATTCTCCCACCTAATCGAAAACGCTGTCTGAACGATCAAGAATAATCGAGAACGAGTAGATTCAAAAGAGAAAAGAGAGAACCTTTCTTTCATCTCACTCAGGCGATTAACAGAATGGTCATATGCTGAAAAACAAATTTTATTAGTTATAATACGAAAGCCTGTGCGCTTCTTTTAACCATTTACAGAGAACGATACCGCATACATCCGTTTTCTCTTAAGACAAAGAAATTTTCTAACGATCATTATCAAAGCGTAGCACTAGATGTGTTTATATGAAGTCATTTCTAGATTGTTACTAATTATGAATGAAACATTCAAGTGTTGTTACTGGAAGAATAGGAAAAGATAAACGTCGTATAATGTTTAAATTAGGCTCAGTCGGGAGGAACATACGGTCTAACTTCGTTATTTACACGAATAATCATCATGAAAAGGGTGATTTTTCGATCAGAATCACCTTTCTCTTATTAGGCCCTTAAAAATACCTAAAACAATCTTATCTTGTAAACATAATATAATTAGCACAAGAGTATTCACTGTATCAATTTCTTACTAAGATTTCATCATCATCATCATCATCAGTCGACTGCAAACAACTTTGGCTTACAGGCGTCAACAATCATGGTCCAGTTTTCCCTGTTGTTTGCAACTGCTCGTAACTCATCGACTGATGGCGGCGTGTACTAAGATTTACTAGCACATTTTGTTTGTTTTGAACATGATCTCGAATAGTACAATCATCAGCTAACGTTGGCCTTGTTCTGTTAGTATTAATAGTTTTGTTGTAGGAGTTTGTTCGGTAAAGCGGAAATTGGGCAATTAGAATTTGGGCACCAGAATTTTGACATTGTCCAAATTCCATTATAATTTCGACAAATTTCGAAAGAACAATGGAAATTCGACAGTATTGTCCAAATTCCATTGTTCTTTCGAAATTTGTCGAAATTATAATGGAATTTGGACAATGTCAAAATTCTGGTGCCCAAATTCTAATTGCACAATTTCCATAGAACCGTTTGTTCAGCATAATACATTATATTGTAAATGCAACACATAATTAACAATAGCGTCGATGTCTACAATTAAACGTTACATTTGTCAGTTACTTTCAGTAAAGTATATTCAATGAACAATAGCACTGCTTTAATGACACCTGACGATCTCGATATTCCAATTTCGGCAATAATTCTTGGTGTTACCGTTAGCTTAATAAGTTCAAGTTAAAAAGAGGACTTTCTGATATTTATAATTCAATTAATATATCAAATATCACGACTGATTCATCAATGACATCAAACTCACATAACTCTAGATTCGATGTACTGAAACCTGTATAAGATATTCTCGAAATCTACAATATACTGCCTTATCAAACAATCAATCAGAGTTAATTAGTAATTATTACAAGATGAATATCACTAATAAAATTTAACAATGAACAAAAGACTGACATATCATTTTTGTAATTATCTCATTTATAAGAAAAGATAAATATTAACTTGACTTTTTCTTTTGAGTCTAACTATCGATAGAGTCAAACACGTCAACTTTTGTACGATTACGTACTTCATTATCAGTTAATCATTAATCACTGTTATTGTAAGTAGCCAAACTAAAATTACATTGTTATATAATTCTTCTTATTTATTCTGATTTTTTCACAATTATAGTTTGCAAGCATGTATAGATTATGATTCTATGCACACACTAATAATCAATAATAATTATAACTTCTCTTTTACAGATAGATAAATATATTTTTATTCTTTTATGTCATATATTAGAAGTACATATTAGTAATAACAAATGAGTCAAAAGTTCTACAAGACTATTTCTTCGTTCCCAATATTCCAAATATAATATTAAAAACATTACTAAAAATGTTTGCACGACTTTTTCTCTCTATTTTCTTCTCCATTCATGATTTTTTTTTAGTTTACTGAGAAGTTTGAAGAAGGACCGATTATTATTACATCTAAAAATTTGTTTTATTTATCAATAATTATTTATAAATTATGTCAAATGTTTGAAAATTAATTTCAAAATGGTTTTGGATATGCCAATTAAGTTAATACGACTATTTATTAAGAAGAATAGGTTGTCGAATCCTCTAAATTTTGTTATCAAATTGATGTGAGTCATTAGCTGTCTCTGTCTATTTTTTTTTTACAAAAATTTCACATGTGATTAATGTTACTTGTAAAAATTATCCCATTGATACTTTTTTTCTTATATTCTTAAATTTTCAATATATATTTTGTTGTTATTATTTTTCGAATAAAATTTGATGGTTATGGTTTCCTGAAATTGTTGAATTTTTTTTTTCATTTATTGTTTGTAGGTGAGGTCTAATTACATATTCAAAAGTCAATACGTTTTTAACAATAGAAGCAAAAACAATAGCTATAGCAATAATTTTTATTTGTCCTTCATTGTGCAAATTGAACGAGCCTAATCTCAAAAATTCTTCCGATGTCTTTCTTTCATGCAGGTTAATTGTCTGTTCTGGTCACTGTGATTTCATGTATAGAACAAATATTTTCAATGTTTTTAAACGAACTTTTGACCTTCTCTCATTCTGTAGAGAGGAGAGCGCTTGCATTCCATTTTCTTTTCTTTTTTTTTTTTGTTTCTTTCTTGCTGTGAAGTAATTTAAAACAGAATGAAATCTATAAATTAGATAAAAAGTTCATTTCTGACATTTATTTTTTATCTGAAAATGTTCCATCGACGTACAAACACGTATCCACTGAAGTATGTTTTTAAAGTCACATGTTTACATGATGTGCCAGAGAGAAAAAAATGTTATTATCGTATCATATGTAAACATGAAGGTATTTTAAACGAAAGTATATTTTAAAAAAGTAAGTATTTCCTACGGACACTTGGTATCCATCGTATTATTTAACCTGAAATTTAACAAAAACGTCTGTTTTAAACTGTTGCTAAGCATATTTTTATTTGAAAAATAAACTATAATTCACATAAAACTATGAATCAATATCTCTTTAAGTGCAATAAAAATATTGTTTTAGAATTAAGTTAAGCTTTCTAACCAGCTGACAGAAAGACAAGAGTGCGATGCAGCTCAAATAATTGTGGCATTAATTATTGAACGGATGCATCGAAGAAATGAAGAATGAAAAACTTCCGAGCTCTGTTTTTTGCCTGCATGGTTGTAATAGTAACAATCCCATATGAACAAATAAATCAGCCAAATATATTTATTATTGAGGTTAAAGTAAACGATAACGTGATGACG